ATCTTCCAGAAAAATTCCCTGCATTTTTTTCAAACGAAATCAATCACATGCTACCGAACCTTATTAAAAGTTTTGCTTATCAACATTTATTCGTTTACTTTAATATTGCGTACCTAAGCTGAGCGATCAAATTAAGTTTTTTTGCGGGCCAATAAAAGTAAATAAATGAAAGTGTACAGGAAAAATATGTAAGTACATGCACACATACAGTATTGGCCATATTTATAGCACCATCATTTCAAAGTGATATTCTTTGCCACTTATGTTTAATTATTAATAAATTATTATAAAACTGCGTACTCAAAAAAATTATAACACTTCTGAGAACAAAAAAATATGAAATTTAGGTGAAAATTTGTTGAATTTTTTTTGTAGTCTTTTACATAGTTTAAAACGTGGGTTTATATGGGTTTTATTAGAGAATGAACTGTATTTTAATTGAAAATTTCTAAAAATAAATAAATAAACATGAGTGGGAAACAATATCACTTTGAAATGGGGATGCTATTGTCTTGGCCAATACTGTATGTGCATATAAAAATATGTAGTTATGCAAAAAGTATATGAAAATTAATGAAGTATGTACAGCACGTAGCCAAAAGCTTGTGTGGTTTGCGCAACAAAAACTTATTTACTTTTACTCGCCCTCCAATGCACAAACTCAAGTGATTTTATGCGATTTTATTTTTCACTAATTAGTTATAAACTCTTTCAAAATAGATTGATATCGAGTGGCGCTGGAATGTAATTATACATATACATACATATCCATATATAATCTATCTATACATAGTATAAAGGAAAGTCGAGAACTACTGAACGGATTTTGACGAGATTTCCTCTATTATACTCTGTATCGACAGGAGAGGGATCTGTCTAAAAAACTATAAGATCCGCACCGTTCGTTGGATTACAAAAGGTGAGGTGTCAAATGAAAGGGATTGGCCTCTAGAAAGGCACGAATGTTTTTTTTTTAATATGGTTGCCACCTGTTAATAAAATTGCCATATTCAATCATAATAAGCGTAGGCATCAGTTCTGTACCGTCACTGTCAAACGAAAAGACTTAGCCTGTGTAATAATGTATAATTTTTCTGAGTAGGGTTGCCACCTACTTAAAAACTATATCAGATCTTCACCGTTCGTTGGATAAAAAATAATATACAAAATGAAAGTGCGTGGCCTTCGCATGTACAAAAACTTTAAGTTTTTGATTTGGGTTGCCACATATTTAAAATTACTAACTTCTATACAAAGTATAAAGGAAAGGCGAGATATTTTAACCACGCTACTGAACGGATTTAGACAAGATTTGTTTATGTATATAATAAACGAAGTACATGATGACATGATTTCTTTCTCCAAATACGAAAATGTATGTACATACATATGCATACATTCAGCGCGTGGCCGGCTAGTATATATTATATAACTTCAACAAACACCCAGCCAGCAAAAAATCCGAAAACCGATCCGAAATAGGAAAAACCAGTGGATGAAGTGCGGATTTTTGTCCGTTTACTGATTCCATTTTCGAATACTTTTACGTACGTACAGACAACAGTATGTGAAACGGATACGTTTTCGGCTGTTTTTTTTTCTAAAATTTGTCTGATTGAATTCTTTGTTCAATACGCTTTCCTTCTGCACTTCACAGATACTTTTTCATGGTTCAAAAGAAATAAAATAAAATTACGAAGCGCCTGACGGAATTCGGCACCTTCTGGAAGTTTACAAATAGAGGCACCCACCTCTGCACGCTCAGCCACTGCCAACAACGCATGCATGCATTCAAATGTTGAGCTTGAGAAAATAAAATACAATTATTGCTTTCAAATGACGTATCGAACGTTTTCCGGATACGAAAATTGATGATAACTGTAGGAGTTTTTCTATTCGTTATCGGATACGGAAAATTGAACTAAACTGCAGTGTCGGCAAAATTTACGTTTCTTTACTGGCTGGGCAACTATATATGTATTTATGTATATGTACGTACATACATACATACATATATGTATACAAATGTACAAACATAAATCCATGCAAGCGCAAAAATGTGATAAGCAAATGAAAGCACATATTTGTAACAAAGTGTAGCGAACCAAATTTAAAGAGTGGATTTTAAATATTTTATAAGCAAGTTTGCGGTACAAGTATTTAATTAATTAAGTTGCAAAAAATAATCTCTAATGTTTAACTCTTAGGCAACCTAATTGACAATACGAAAGAAAACTGCTTGATAATCGTGCAAATTTCATTTGAACTTACTTATCGGCGCAACATGCGCTTATAGAAAACACAACCCTGAGCCCTAATGCAATGCCTTGAAACTAAACTACTTTATGTTAACAACACGAACTGAATTTAAATCAACGTAATTGAGTGTTGAAAATAGGTTAAACGTATGCAATTATCAATAGAAGCAAAAAGTAAGTAATAAAAGTAAAAATAAAAAAGCATATGAGAGGCTCAGCACAAAAGCCAGCAAAGGCAGAAAGCAGTCTAGTGTATCATACCGATGCTTTGCAACTGCAGGTGGAGTTTAGGTATAAAAATGTATGGTATAAAAGAACATAAAACTCAAACAATAAAAAGAGTAGAATAAAATAAAATTTTAATATATAAATGTATGTACTTTATAAGCAAAACAACTCTTTGGCGAACAAATAACCACAATGGGTACAGACAAAGCAATGGACGCCCCCTTCCGTGGCAAAAAGCCTAGCAGTCATCAAAAGCAATACCAAAAACGAGCCCATTAGGTAAAAACACAAAAAAACATTTTGTAAATGCCTGACAATAGAAAACGCAGTTAAAATATAAAGTGATTTTGCTTACTTTGCACTACTTGCAAAAATTATGCGATTCACTCTGATTTTGCTAAAAAAAAAAATAGCCACTATTTTTGAAACATTTTATGAATTCCTTGCTTGTTTACGGCAAGTAACAGAAGAAACAGGCAGAAAACTGAAAGTTTCAATCGCAAATAACTCAAACGTTCTTAGGTATCTCAAATAAGCATAAACAAATTGACGAAAAATATATTACGTACATAGATATAAAATTTGTATTCAGCAAACATTCCGTTGACAATGAAAGACACAGACAAGTTGATGCAACGCGTAGCTAGTGAACTGGTTTTAAATTCCTGCTTTCGTTGTTCTTCTATTTGTTTTTTAGACTGCTAAATTTTTTATCGTAGCCTTTGTTGGCTTGTCCATTGTTGTTTGCATTGTCTTTACGTTTACTTGCGGCACAAAAATAAATTTTAAAATAAAAACTGAAAGTAATTTACTTGAAGATTTGTGCTCGAGAAGATGCCTGTGTGTATTTTTCAAACCTGCACATTGTTATACTAAAATTCAATAGGCCACAAAACTGCATACCCAATAAGTTTCTAAAAATTCTGAAGAAAAAGTTGACAATTTTGATGGCATTTTTTTGAAATTGGTTAAATTTTCTAGAATTTTGCACATAGTTTCAAACTTTTATTTATATGGTTAATGTTATAGAATATGGTATATTTTTATAAAAAATTAACAAAAAAAAATTATCACATCTAACATTGCGAATATTGTAAAAAATGTGAGCAATTAAGCGAGCATCACTGTATGTACATATGTACATACATGCCTACAGTATTGTGCAAAACAGACGCAAAAAATTTAGTTAAATTCATGTTATTGCTGTATTTCCTTCAATACAAAGTTTTACAAAAATGTTAGGATTAATTCTTAAATAGCCAGAAGTTCTCTCTAATAAATGTGTTTCAATTACCACTTCTTCGCGAAAACGTCTGAATAAAAAACAAAAACTGGTCCATACTCGGCTGCAAAACAATTGCAACAAATCATTTATTCTTAATAAGCTATGTGATTCTTAAGAGGCATTGAGGATAGTATATTCAGTTTTGTATATTATAAATAGTTTTCCCAATCACTTATTAAGTCTTGGAAGAAATTATACTTATTGCGAAGGCGTTGACCGGAAGCTCTCCTTTTGAGATACCGAACAGGTTCACAATAGGGTTGAGGTCCGCCGACTTGGTAGGATATTCGAGAACTTGAACTCTACTATACCAGAGATAGTTTTTAATATGCTTAGGTGTGGGTTTGGATCGTTAAAATGCTGAAATTCCCACTGAAGCGTCGTAATCCAATCAACATGTGGGAAAATTTTCGTCCGTAAAATGTTCTTAAATAAAAACTGGAAAATGGAAGTCGGCCTATAAAAGTGAAGGACAATAATTTTTAGACCGAATTTCGACCCTATGCACCTAATTGGATCGTGGAGATCATGGAAAGTCATTTTTTGAAGCTGATATAAAGTTCTATATGATGAATGCCGACGGTATGTATACAGTCCCCCTGCTGACGCCCCTGTACTTATGGACAGACCCTATTGAAGTCGCTCACTTCCTTAGCTCAGGGGGTCTACTCTGTATTTCGATTGGATAAGAAACTCATTCGGATTCGAATACTTGGCACAATACAGAGTAGACCCCAGCTATGACTTTAGCCTGCTGCAGTAGTCAGAGCGAAGTTATGCTATTGTGGTGCCAGAGTCTTTAGGCAGACACAGCTTTGTCTTGTCCACGTCGGGTGGTTGTGTGCCCAAAACGGCATTCACAGACGGGGAGTCTATATAACCCTGTGAATGCCAAAGGTTATTTACGGAACCTCTGCATTTCGTCAGTCAGTTTATATAGATGTCTCCTGACGTGCCTTGGTGAGGGCTCTTCTGTAAGCAATTGTCTATTCGGGTGCCCAGGTCTGAGGCACCCTACTAGGAACCGCATACAGAGCTTTGTGTTATGCTCCCTGACGGGGAGCAAAGATTTTTTGTAGAGTGATGCTGTCAGTTCTTGGTCAGATATAAACCTGGGTTGTTCCGGTTACGTATACTATAGCGGAAACGAGCACCGATAATTACAACTTATCGCTTTTTTACATACATACATATATAATTTTTTATTAATACAATACAAACATACTCACCAATTAATCTTTCAAAAGTCATATAAAACAAGTAACTCCCCTCCTTGGGGTGCGCAAAACAATTCACACGAAAATCAAAGAGTATCGTCCAAAAATTATTTTCCAATGCAAACTTTACACTGAGCTTACAACTGGCTTTTTGTGCTGGTTTTTACACTACCTTTTGTGGTTTTACACGATTATAAAATGCGTTTAATAGTATTTTCTTCACGGCTTCAAATTTTCACCATTAAGTTGATAAGTAGCAGTTTTTTTTTTTGTTGAAGTTCAAAATTAGTGATTGATCGCAAACGAAAAGCAAACCAACCAAAATAAAATAAAAATTCAAAAAAGAATTTTGCGAATTAGTGCTGAAAATGCTGCTTTGTTGTTGCTTAGATGCTTGATACAACAATAAGCCGAGACGATAAGTTGCGATATGCAGTCTGGTTTTGTATTAAAGAGGAAAAAACTTGATTATGCTCCACACTTAGTGCTCCACCAAAACAGTGTCGCTCACTAGTGCTAAAAGACACTCTCTGCCACGTGAAGAGTTGCAAGCGCTCTGGTAACAGGCTGCGATTGCCAATAGATTGGTAACACACACAATTTATGGTGCAAAATAAAATGCGAATTATCTGCAATAAAAAATAATAATATATAAAATTTATATGTTTTGCTGAGACAGCATGTGGAGAGCAAGGCTAATAGAACAGAATTAACATGTTCTTCAATGAATTTGGATTTTATCTTTTGAAGCGGTTAAGTTGCACTTTCAACCTACCATATACGCCCATGGAACTCACCGCCACTGCATAACAAAAAGGGCAGGCACGTGTATGAATTCTAGGTTGGGTGCTGTTGCTACGTTGTTAAACAAATACACAAGTATTGGCAAAATTACTGTACCGTGTCTTCGTGTTCGCAAGAACTACTTCGCAAGATCCCATTGCAACCAGGGCCTTTGTGACGTCACATCCAAAATTAATTATTTTTTGCTATAATTTTCGATTTCATACAAAAATTTGCAGTGAATGTTGCTAAAACACATTCGCAAATGCACATACAAATACATAAAAGAACGTATCAGCGCACATGGGCACATCCGCCACGGTGCAAAAAGATGGACGACGTCTGGCCGATTAGCGGCAGAGGTAGTAGTGGTGATATTGGTGCCGATGGTGGCACATTAGCAACACAAAAAAGACAAAATTTCACAAGCAAAACTAATTTGCGAGTCATTCGAACTCGTTGCTCTCCACATCACAAATATGCAAACATTCATCAATATGAGTTGCAAAATTACAAAATCTTCTAGTTTCTCAATTACCTGGTAAATTTTTTAACAATAAATTTATTATTGCGTTGCGTTTAAAACACTCAATAATTTTTATTCCGCGAGTTTTCTGACTCTGACTTCTGCTGCTGCTGATATAATTTTTTGTGCTACAATTTCAATCGTCGACTATAATCGTCAATCTGATTGATTCAGAGCGCAGGGTTGCGTGTTGGGCAAATCGATAAAATATCGGTGTAATCGAAAGAACGTTCGATTGCTGGGAATAACGACAGAGATTAAAAACAAGCCGTTTTTTCTATTGTACCTTGAATTATTTGCGTTGAAGAGTCCCAACTTTGGTAATGTGGACATGTTCATATAAATACATGTATTCATAGTCAGCTGTCGAGGCGACGCCAGCGCCAACGCAACGCCAAATCTGTATGTAAACGGGCCTTTATTGGCTCAAAATGGATAACATCAATCAATCAAATATTCAAGCAAGGCGAATTTATACAAGGTGGTGTTGATGGCGAATTAAATTTTCGCCGCGGTACTACTGAATGTCAAAATTATGTGTTTGT